AAAATTAGTCCCTGGTACAGGCTGGAGAATCTGGAGTGGAAGCAAAGCCAGCAGCACGAGGTGCAGCAGTGAGGCACCACCAGCCCTAGGAAGGAGCTGGGCAAATTTGTCCCTGACCTGGGGATCCAGGGATGTCCCTCCCAGTAACTCTTTATCTGTGGGTGACTTTGGTCTGAAGCATGGGGACTTGCAGCTCTTGCAGTTGTGTTGAAGTGGTGGTGCAAAACCCAACACCTTCCCTCTGCTCTCTTTCCAGCCCCCTGGTAAGCACAGGCGGGACCCCTCTGAGGTGAGTCGGCTGAGTTTTGATGGGGAGAAGCCTCCAGACTCTTCTTTGCCCAAGGCAGTGAATGGACCTGTGAGGACTGGCAAGGAGACCACAGATGGACAGAGCAATAAAGTATCAGAGGAAAGGATAAGCAGTGACAATGACAAACTGGAGAGCAACCACTCCACAAAAACCCTTTCCAGCTCTGCCACCTCAGTGACCCAGGGCAAGCCAGATATCATCTCACAGCCTGGGCAGCTGGGTAACTCAATGGAGGGGGACAAGCAGCCTGGGTCTGGCAGCAAGGAGCAGAAGAGCATTGGGGAGCGACCAGAGAGCAGCCACCTGGAGAACTTCACGGAGGAGAAGCTTTCCAATGGGAGCTTGGATCCCCCGGCTCCGTTCCTCAGCAGCCGCTCCAAAGGGGATTCAGATTCTGGCAGCACTTCGGCCTCTGAAAGCATGGACCTCACCATCTCCCTCTCTGCTGACCTGTCCCTCAACAGAGAGAGTGGATCCATCTCGCTAAAGGTGAGAGTGGAAGGTGTGGGAAAGCCCTGTGCTGAGGCCTTTTTCCTCTTTTCAGCTAAGTCCCCAAAAATCACATCCTTTCCTCGAGAGGCTGTTCCCATGCACATCTTGGCCACAGCCCCTTAAACTCCTTTCTGAGCCAGCAGCCTGCTGTACTCTGGGTGGGGCTGGTCTTTGACCACAGGAGGAGAAGGTGGGAGGGCAGCAGAGCACATACTGCTGGGTTAAGCTGTGCCCTGGGCATGTGGCATGTCCTCAAGTGAAGGAGAAGCTCTTACTGGAGCTGCTACAGGTGACCTGTGCTGTCTCTGACCACTGGTATCTAGTGGAAGTCAAAAGTTTTGTAGCCATCTTGGGTCTCTGACGAGTGTTAAGTAATCATGGCACTCACCTGATGTCTGCACTTGAACAAGTCAGAGTAAGGAAAACTATGAAACCCCAAATATATTTCCTGAACTGTATCCATTGCTCATTGCTCTGCTGCTCTTTCTTCTGGGTCTAGGTGGTCTAGGAAAGCTTATTTGGGTTGGTGTCTTTCTCAGTTTTTCCAACCTGCCATGCAACTGGCCTGCTTTGTGTCAGCAGTGACTTGCACAGAGACCTCCCAGGCTTCTTGGCTTTTGTTAAAGCCTTCTGGAGGCTGGAAATGCTTTTGATCCAGGTCAGTGTGGCTTAGAGGAAGAGGCAAAATAACTGGAATTATATTCGCTGAGCTTCAGAAGAAGAAATGTGTGTGACTTGAGGGAGCAGAGTGATGCATTGCACAAGATCTTTATCCAATTGCCTGCATGAGTGATAGCTTCCTGGCACAGAAATGTGCCTGAAAACCATTCTTGGTAAAACCTTCCTCCCCTTCTTTGTCCTGCTGTAAGCATAAGAGCCAGCATCCCCCTCAGGAGCTCACCATCAAGGAGGATCCCTAATGAGGGAAGTGTGATGCCCCTCCTCGCTGCCTTTCTCATGATGCTTGGTCTCTCTGAAGCCAGCCAAAGATGAATTCCATGCTACACGTGTCGTGGCTCTCCCCAGTTTGTCCCCTAGAAGGGGAAAGGAGGTTTTTGAGTTTTACAGGGAGTAAGACTCAAAGAGAAGGTCATGTTAGATCACAGCTTCAATTTCCCCAGCCAGAGATAATGCTCAGAACAAACTAAATAGCATCTCTCTGAATGGGTCTGTTCAAGCAGAGCTGTTCTCCAGGAGTGATGCTGCTGGAGGGCCCTGGGAAAGGCTCTGCTGAAGCCTCTGCTCTGCACTAGGAGCTGTGAGTGCATGAGGGGAGCACCAGGCTGTGCTGTTCCCTCTGTACCCAGGCTCCTTGCCCAGCCTTAGCTTCGTGGGTTTTAAGCTCCCCTGCTCTGCCTTTGCTTCTGGTGCTGCTGGATTTTGTGCACAGGGTGCCAGGCAGATTGCAGCAAAAGAAGGGGCAGCAAAGAGTTAAGCCATTTATGGTTGTAAACATTAACTATTCCATGCCTTTTATCACAGGATAAACTGCAAAGTTAAGGTGGCTTTTTTATTACCAGGCTCTTTTTTCAGTTTCTTGTAGGTTAGTGCAAAAAAAAACCCAAATAACTTGCTTATTTTCTTCATTAACAATGGCATCAGCATTGCCCTGAGGCTTCCAGCTGTAGTGCCCTGTGCAACAAGCTGGGGAGCTGCTCCAAGGCCTCTTCCTTTCCTCCTCTGCTGAACTCAGGATTCCCGGATGCACAAGAAAACACTGAAACGCACCCGCAAGTTTGTGGTGGATGGAGTAGAAGTGAGTGTCACCACCTCAAAGATCATCAGCGAGGATGAGAAGAAGGATGAAGAGATGAGATTTCTCAGGCAAGTGGGTCACTGGAATGGAGGGAGAGTTTTCTTCTCCACAAACAAATCCAGGAGGAACCTAAAGTCCTCTCATTTTCTGTCTTGGTCCTACATGGACAGGACAACTGTCCACACTGGACATCACTTCTTTTGTCCTTTCCTTGGCTGGCAGATGGTTTGCTGCACCACAGAAGCTGAGCTCTGTTTGTATGCAGGGAAATGAGGGATGTGTCTCTAGGATAAGATGCAGCAAGGATATGACAAAGGAATCTTGTTCTGTGGTTGGCTCTGTCCTCTGAGGGTGGCTGAATGTGTCTTCAGGGCTGTAGATGTGCTGGCTCAATGGAAATAAGCACAAAAATCTTCTCAAGATGCTCCTCTTCCTTTTGTTCTTCTATCTCCTCAGACTTCATTAACAGAAAAGCCAAGGGAGTTGTAAACTCCTTGAGCAGCACTTAATATTCATGACTGTATCCTCCCTGCTTATGCCTGTGACTTCTTTGTGGATCTTAGAGCTTTCAAACCTTCATGACCTATTCTCAGGAAGAGAAACTGCTGTTTCTAGCTCCCTTACTATCAGTAGCATCACTGAAATGAAAAGACCCTTAAAATAATTAAAATACAAATTGTTTTGCTTGATGCCCTGTTCTAGGCTCCTTTGTGCTGCTCTTAGAGACCCCCTGGGAGTGTAATCTGTCCCAAGCACTATGTGTTCCTGCAGCAGTGTTACTCCTAGACGCTCATATCAGACCTATGCAGAAGCTCATTAGCTACTCATTTTTGTGTGAGAAGAGCACAAAACCCCAGTGAAACACAAGCAGTGTGTACTGGCATCCAGGGAATTTCCAGGCACAGATGCTTTCTTCTGGTTCACTCTCAGCTGTGGTGGCATCCCTGAAAAGCAACTCCTTTTTAATTTTTAAATAGTTCCTGTTCCATCTGCAAGGTGGGGGAAGAGACAGAAGGGCTTGGGGTGGAAAGCATCAAGTCCCTGAATATGTCTTTGGGAGATGTGGTTGTTCCCCTGGGGCTAGCAAGCACAATTAACTCTCCTGACATCTTTTTTTTTGCACTTAAGGGGTTTGTATCTGTTTTTTGGAACATGCCAAGGTATTGATTTGAAGGCAAAATCAGAAGAGAGCACATCATACTGTGCCAGTTGATTTACTGGGACTTGAGTTCGTTTTGAAAGAAGAGATCGTTCTGAAGTGCCTTTCCCAGCAGTGCCTCCAGAGGGTTGTACTCCAAGTGTAAGGCTAGTGCACAGCAGCAGAGGTCACAGTGGGGATCTTTCGTGGGGAATTGCTGCTGGTGCTGGTTCTTTTGCATGGCACATCAGTGATCAGCTCGATTGGGCACAAACGTGGCAACCAGGCTCAAACACAACCATCTGAGCAGAGGTTCCCTTTTGCTGGATGTGAAGCTGGACGAGGACAGTGATGCTATACCATGGCAGATGGGTCAGAATTTGGGAGAACTGCCCTTTCTGCCACCCAGGCATGAGCAAGAATGGACACAGAGCACAAGGGCCAGGCCAGAGCAGTGACAGCTTAGTCTGAGCTGTGTCTGTAGACCCGTGTGTACTAGCCCAGCTGGCAGAATGGGTATTTTGGGTGCTGGCTGAGGGAGCCATGCCTGCAGGATCATCCTGGGAGCTTGGACAGGGCTTGTTTGGGAAGCTGTGAATGCTAACAAGCCTTAACTGTGAAAACTAATGGCTTTCCAACAGTTACTGTAATTAGCATCCTGCTTCCTTGCAGTGCTCTGGTGTCACAGAGCCTGAGAGCACATCAGTCAGGTGGCATTTACCTCCTGCCTGTGCCCAAAGCAAGTGGCAGGGTGCTATGGGGTGGCTGTGCAGCTTTCCCTGCTAATTGACTCTGCCATCTCTGCTCAGGCACGTGCCTCTGAGCTTGTCTGACTGTATTTCTCACTCTCAGCCTCCATTTTAACCCTCCGCAGGCGCCAGGAGCTGCGGGAGCTGCGTCTCCTTCAGAAGGAGGAGCACCGGAACCAGGCCCAGCTCAACAGCAAACACCAGCTGCAGCTGGAGCAGATGCTCAGGCGCTTTGAGCAAGAAATGACGGTATGTGGGCAGGGAAGGGGAGGCAGGTGGGGGGTGGCTGGTTTGCCTTCCCCTCTGCAGGTGCCCTGTGGACCCTCGTGCAGGGCAGTACTCTCTGGATGGCTGCGGTTTTGGGGCATTGTGTCCAGAGGGAGCAGGTCCACTGATGATTTGAGGCATGGGATGTGTTTGTGAAGCACAGAGGCTTTTGTGGGTGTGAAGCACGTGCAGCCTGCAGCTTGGGAAGCACCAAGGGCCATTGCCCAGCATGGTGTAGCAGGGGAGGGATCCTTCTCGACTTTCCCTCTTTAATGATCTTTCCTTGCGCGTCTGTTTACAGCTTCTGTGAGAAACAGTTTATAGTGCTGTTGTGTTTCACAGAAAAAACACTTGAAATAAGAAAGCAACATGCCTGGTGTGTGGCAGCAGGAAATCTGGCGAGCCTTTGAGTGTAAATTAAATAAAGATAAACTGGGCTTACATACTTATTCCATCCATGGGCAGCTTCTGTTGAAGTAAAATAATTTTCTAGATCAGTGCCTCTAAAGCTTCCATGAGACATCTTTGAGATACCTCTTTCTTTAGCATGTGCTCCTGGTAACCCCCTCCCCTCAGAGCAGGCTGGGAGCCATCACTCATCGGGTGCTCTGCTGTGCTTCTACAGACTTGATGTGATACATCTGTGAATTCCCCAGCCAGCAAGTCACTTCTTGTTTGTGAGGTTTATCCCCCATGCTGTGTGATGTGCAAAAGCCCCAGCCCTGCTTCCTTTTCCTTTCCCTGGGGCAGTTTGCAGCCTGCTCTCGTTGACACCCGGGTGCTCCATCCCTGCAGCTCGGGTGCTCCATCCCTGCAGCTCGCAGGGAGGGAGGGATGGGACACAAGGATGCTGTTGGAGCACAGTGCCCACAAGCCTGGAATCCTTGTCTGTAGAGGAAGAACTGTTATACTTGAGCTTCACTGCCTGCTAATATTTGCCCAGGCTGTGGGTCCCAGTGGGATGTTGCAGATCAGGATGTAAGCAGGAGAAAGGCTTGAAGGGCCAGAACAAGTTCAAAAGTGCTTTGTGCTAATGCTAGAACTGGCTCTTCCCTCTGTGCTTCATGAGGTGTTATTTGGGAATTTCTGTGTTTAGTAAAGAGGCTCAACCTAGGCAAGGACAACCCCCCACCCTCTTGTTTTTTCTCTTTTTTCTTAACTTTTGGATGGAAACAAAGCAAAGAGGAGGCTGAGGTTGACTTCTCTTCCTTCCTCTACAGGCAAAGAAGAAGTTCTATGACACCGAACTGGAAAACCTGGAGCGGCAGCAGAAACAGCAGATTGAGAAGATGGAACAAGACCACTCGCTGCGCCGGCGAGAGGAGGCCAAGCGCATTCGCCTGGAGCAGGAGAGAGACCATGTCAAATTCCTGGAGCAGCTGAAGCAGATGAAGAAAGAGGTAAAAATGGGGTAAGGTGGAGGAAAGCTGGTTTCCTGCATCTGCTTCTTCCAGGAAAGCTTCAGTATTTCTCCATGGCAGACCTTGAGAGGGAAGCACTTGGTGTTTTAGCAGGAAGCTCTTGCTTTTGGTATATTCGGGTGTTTCCTGAGGCCCAGCTGTCTAGTAATACTAGGTGGGGCTGTTCTTGGCCTAAAGGTACCTGCTGATAACTCTCATTTCCCTCCCCAAAGGTCAAGAACGAGGTTGAGAAGCTGCCACGGCAACAGCGCAAAGGGAACATGAAGGTGAAGATGGATGACTTTGCCCAGAAAAAACAAACCATGGTAAGGCTGAGAGAGGATTGCTGCAACTCCAGGGTTGGAAAGTGTGTAGTAGGCAGAAGCATCCTTGCTCCTTGATGGACTGGCAGTTTCTGAAACACCGTCAAAAGCTTTTCAAGTTGCAGCAGAAGGAGGGCTCATGGTGGTGGTGGTGTTTTCTTCCAGGAACAGGAGTTTTTGGCCAAGCAGAAGGAGGACATGGAGCTAGCCATGAAGAACATAACTGCCCAGAACAAAAGAGAGATCTGCGACAAGGAACGCGAGTGCCTGAACAAAAAGCAGCAGCTCATGAGAGGTGGGTAGCAAAGAGTGTAAAGGAGGAAAGCAAATGCTGTAATGATGGGTTTATCCAGCGCTGGCTCTTCCCACGCAACAGATGCTGTGACAGAGTTGCAAGCTGGTAGAATAGGATTTAGAAAAAACAGCCTTGCCAGATTCTGTCTAAATGTTTTACAATAATAATACTTAGTGCTTTAATCTTCAAAGCGCTTTACAAATATGAACCAATTAGGCTTCATAATTGTAAGAAATTATTATCCAATATGGTTTGCAACCAATTTCTCTTGGAAAACAGGAGGTGAACAGTCACCTCCCACATCTGCTGCACTGCTCCTGCATGTAGGGATCACTCATGCTTGGGACCCTTCATGTGACCAAGCTCTGGGGGGCCAAGGTGGGTTGTCTCCTGACCTTTGTCCCTTCCTTAGACCGGGAGGCATGTATCTGGGATCTTGAAGAGCATCAGCAACAGGAGAAACACCAGCTTATTAAGCAGCAGCTAAAGGACCAGTATTTCCTCCAGAGGCATGAGTTGCTCCGAAAACATGAGAAGGTGAGGAGTTAGCACCTTCCTGTGCCTGGTGCTGGTCAGCAGGGTGCCTGGGTGTCCACAGAAGAGATGTTTCCTTTCCAGGCTGTAAGGGTGGGTTAGGAGTTAAGGGACTTGGTCATTACTAGTGAAAAGGGACCAGCCTGCTTGCTCACCATGTGTGTTCCATGTGTTGTGCATTTAGTGTACAAGAAGCAGTTGTGAATTCTGGAGACTTTTCTGAATATCTGTCCAGTTTGTGGGATGGTGGCTTCCCAGAGCAGAGAATGAAGACTGGCACATCTCACAGTCATTTCTGCTTCCTTCCAGCCCTTTCTCCTCTGCTTTCACAGCATGTTCAGTTGCTGCCCCGACCTCTTGTTCCCTTGGAGCTATCTGTCACCAGCCACCTCTGTGCAACTCCCAGATCTGTTCTCTGGCTTTATTTGGCCTCCTCAACACTTTCTTGTTGGCCTGAAGTGCCCCTCCTCCTCTGATGCCTGTCCCTCTGCCCTTGCAGGAAAGGGAGCAAATGCAGCGATACAACCAGCGCATGTTGGAGCAGCTGAAAATCCGGCAGCAGCAGGAGAAAGCCCGGCTGCCCAAAATCCAGCGGAGCGAGGGGAAGACGCGCATGGCCATGTACAAGAAGAGCCTTCACATCCACTCCAGCGGGAGTGCAGCCGAGCAGCGTGAGAAGATCAAACAGGTCAGGTTCTGCAAAGGGCACCAGGGTTGAGGCCTGGGGGTGAAGTGCTTCACTGGCCTGGAGGCAGAAGCGAAGATGGGGAAAGGCAACTGTGCACAAATTTCTAAACCACTTTAGGGAGTCAGAGGTTTTTGCTTTTGTGACATCAGATGTGGTTTTCAGCAGTGCTTCCATCCTGGACAGTGTTGGGAAGCATCCCTGGGGCTTTTCTGTCTTTCCTGTACAATAGTACAAGCTGGCCAGTCTCTTAACCAGCTTCAGATAGAGATTCAGAGATCAGAAAAACTCTGCTTCCACAGGCACCTACTTTTCTTTCTTTCAGT